CATCAACACTAACCACTATCGATCACCACCAACCAAATATATCGATCCCCACCAACCAGATATCGTCAATCGACGTTGTGATCTGAAAAATATAGTTACCCTTTCTCATTTGTGAGACAAAAGATTTCTGTAATTATCAAATAATAGTGGATTTCCGCAACTGGGTCAGACCACGTGGTTTTCCCTTACGGGTTTTACACGTAAAAACTTCTGGAGTCATCACCATTTTTTTCTCTTTCATCTGCGTGTGTGCTGAACTTTCGTACAACGCTAAGACAATAGTCCGTTACTCTACCGCAAGCGAATTTTCTAGCACGCATCATATATGACCACATTGATGAAACCCTCAATAAATCTCCTCATAATTGACACAAATATATTATATGCCAATTTAGCACTTAGCATTTATTTAAAAATAAAAAATTAAAAAAAAATCAATGATCAATCATGAAAATGTTGCAATGAAAATCACTAATACCTATTACAAACCAATGTAACAACCCTAAAGAGTCATTTAATTTGTTAAAAAAGCATATGTGATAAAAGTTGAATAGCATACAAATTCCCAATGTTTCACTTGCTTATATTTGCCAAAATATTAGGCAAGGCAAGCAGCCACATGTTAGACAAAGTCTGGACAGAAATGAGGAAGGCACTTCATCGCCACTCCCTATTCGACCAACCATTGCCCACCTTCTTCTTCTCACCATTATCTCTTATCTTTTTTATTCTTTCCACCATTGCCTCCCTCCATCTCCTCCCAACGGTCAAAACCCATCTTCTCCTTCTTCTCCTCCCCTTCTTTCTCCCACTCATATTTATGCCTTCTCCTTTCTCTAAGCTCACTGCCCACTTTCTCCTTCCTTTTCTCTTCTCTCTTCTCTCCACTACCATAGCCCTCCTTCCTCTTCTCGTAGCCACCTACGTCCTCCTTTTCCTCACTGCTGCTAACGTCCTCCCACACCTTCTTCTTTGAGCTGCTGCCTCTCTTCTCTTTCTTCTCCCCATAGCCACCGCTCAACACCTCCTTACTCTTACTCATCTCATCGTTGAAGCCTCCTCTTTCCTTCCTCTCTCTATCCACACCACCTCCACCTCTCGCCTCCTTCATTTTCTTCAGACTGCTGAATCTCTCTACTTCCATCTCACTATTGCCACATCCCTCCTGCACCTTCTTCTTCTCGCCCCAACTTCTACTTCCAACTCCTGCATTCTCCTCCATTCTTTCACCACTGTAGAATCTCTCCTCTTGCATCTTGCCATAACTGCCACCACCTTCCATCTCCTTCTTCTTATCGCTGCTTCTGCTGCCACCTAACATCTTTTCCTTCATTCTTTCGCTACTGGTGAACCTCCCAGCTTTCATCTCGCCGTTGTCATCTTCCTCCATTTCGTTCTTCTTCTCACCCCATCCACCTCTCACCTCTTTCATTCTCTTCAGACCGATGAATCTCTCAGCTTCCCTCTCACTATTGCCACAACCCTCCATCTCCTTCTCCCTCTCGCCACTTGTACCTCCACCTACTATCTTCTCCTTCATTCTTTCGTTGCTGGTGAACCTCTCAACTTTCTTCTCCCAGTTGTCATCCCCCTCCATCTCCTTCTTCTTCTCACCCCATCCATCTCCATCTCCCACCTTCTTCTCCATTCTCTTACCGCTTCTGAATCTCTCTACTTCCATCTCACTATTGCCACATCCCTCCTTCTCCTTCTTTTTCTCGCCCCAACTTCCACTTCCAACTCCTGCCTTCCCCTTCATTCTCTCACCACTATAGAATCTCTCCTCTTGCATCTCGCCATGACCGGCACCACGTTCCATCTCCTTCTTCTTATCGCCACTTCTGCTGCCACCTAACATCTTCTCCTTCATTCTCTCTCTGACCTCACAGCTTTCATCTCACCCTCTTCATTGCCCTCCATCTCGTTCTTCTTCTCACCCCATACACCGCCACCTCCCACTTTCTCCTTCATTCTCTCGCCATTACTGAATCTCTCTACTTTCATCTCACCACATGCACCGCCACCTCTCACCTTCTCCTTCATTCTCTCGTTGTTGGTGAATCCCTCCATCTCCTTCTTCTCCTCACTTCCCCACCCACCTCCGAACTTCTCCTTCATTCTCTCTCGCCTGCCAACTCTCTCTACTTTCAATACCTCATCATCGCCACCGCCCTCTCTGTCCATCCTCTCGCCACCGCCGTCACCGCCATTTCCATCCTCCTTCGTCTTCTCATCTTCAACGTTGTTCATATGATTGTTGTTGTCGTCGTCATCGATCTTCATTGAAACAATCTCAGCGCTACGTTTGAGCTTGCGCTTCACGTGCACCGGCAGTGAATTCACATCCATTGTCCCCTCAACAGTCACCAACTCCCTTTCAGCATCAACATATACCTTTTTTACCCCTGGGAATAATTGCAATAATGGAAACATTAGGTATAAAATTAGATAATTTGATACAATTAATTTCATGTAATCTGAAAAAAGATTTTATTTTATTTTTTAAACCATATATGTTTTGCTATCCGAAAAAAAAATAGATTCATATCAAAAGAAATTATTTATGTGCATTGAAAGAACATATAATTTCTCTCCAAATTAATAAAAATTAAATACAAAGTGAGTAAATAAAATAATGCAATTAATTACCTTCAACCTCAAGAAGAATCTTCTTCACACTCTTAATGCAGCCATAGCAGTCTAGACGTGTCTTCAGCACCACCGTTACAGCCGCCTACTAACAAAATATCAATATTAAATAAATAAATAAATAAATAACAAATTCTCTACTCTCTGCAATATCTTCTTTTGTCAGGTACCTAAATGCAAATAAAAAATAAACTTTTGATTACACCTCCTTTGAGTTCACCTGGTCCTTTAACTCATCGGCGGGAGCAGCGGCGGCGGCGGGCGGCTTCTTCCATCCAAACCAGCAAAAGCCACCGCCGCCTCCTCCGGGGGCGGCGGCGGCCATCTTTTTCGGTACTGAATTCACCGGCGAGACAATCTCAACCTCTCTATGAATTTTTGTTGTTACACGATCCCGAAGAGTACGTGGGTCCAACTTCCCTAATACAGTCAATTTATTGCTTGCCTTATCGATCATCACTCCCTCCACTCCTAAAATCCAAAATTTTATTAAAAAAAAAATACACAGATCAAAATTCTGCAAGTCTCATCTATGGATCCGTTTGATAAAAAAAATTTACATATATTGCAAGCAGCTTTGTATACGTATTTAGATATCTAACACCTAAATTTACATTATATATATAAAATGTATGTATATATATGTGTATGTTTACCATTAAATGCACTTAAATTTTTTTAAATAAGTTAGGAATGTTTAACAAAAAATTAAAATAAAGTAAGAATTTTTAACTAATTTTGATTTTTCGATTTGCTCAGTAAAATAATTTAAATTAAATCTGGAAACCAAATGTTAAGATTTTAAAAATAAAAAAATCAAATTATATATTTGCAATTTGAAATCAATTAAATTTGAACAGTTCCATTCTATTTTTCTATCCCAAAAGGCCTCTAAATCGTTGAATTTGGTGCTTATTGCAGCAATATCAACTAATTAAATACCTTCAAATTTTTTGACGCATTTCTTGATCTTCAGAGCGCATTCATTGCAGTGCATATCAACCTTAAGGACGATGATGGGCGGCGCCGCCCCTTCTTCCTTCTCAATCAAATTCGCATTAAATCAGTAATTAATCGGGCAGATTAATGAAATGAAAATAAAATTAATTTGAAATCTAATTCAGATGCGAATTTGTTCATCGTTCCCACTTACTTCTCCCATCTCTGATCCTTTTGCCCTGCTTGTTCTACTGAAGGAAGTAAAGAAGAGATATATACTCGGGCCGAGAGAGGTCGCCACGTGGCACACTGTGAAGCGCGGTGGATTCGGTGGGTGAGATTTGGTTATTAATTTATGTGATCTGTTCATGCATGAGCCATGCATTCATTACGTACATGCATGCATGTGTGCAGTAATTAGTAGGGTTTTAGTGGTTTTCATGTAACACTCCTATTTTAGAATTTGGGGTCAATTTACATATTTGACATGTAAGCTTTCTTTTTTTAATATTTATATCATTCAAATATTTCATACCACATCAAGAAAATTATTTTTTTTAACTTTAAAAGAAAAATATATAGTTGTAAGTTCTAAATTTTAAAGCTTAGTCGTTAGATATGAAAATACATAAGAATTGAGTGACATGAAGGTAAATCTTCCTAAAGTATACCTTTGGGAGATTTTATGTAATATTATATACATTGTACTTTTCTAGCAAGCTAGATTATATTTGTGAATGTCTTATTTTATTGTCCAACAATGTTATTAATTTGAGGAATATTATATGTGTATAATAAAGGATACACATGTAGAAAAATAAGCATCCTCTTTATATAAAATTTATGAGGATAAGTTAATAACTTGTTTTTCTCATAATAATCATATCAAATTTTTAAATAAAATAAAATTTAAAACATTTACTATGGGATAAATATAATCTATTATTATTTTTTGGAATCTAAAGTAAGATTACAATAATATAAATGAATAATTTTGGGATACAAGAATGTCTATGTAGAGCTAATAATAGAAAGTAATAGAGGAAAATATAAGAACAAATATGAAGTGAATGATGAAGATATATTACAATAATAATTATAATATACTCTTACAATAACATAAAAGAAAAAAAAATAATTGAGAATATTTATGGTACAGATTTTTGTTAGGTAAGGATGTAAATTGTAGAATTTATTAAAGTTGGGTGTACTATAAAATTTTGCACATAGAACTAATCCCAAATACATTCAAAAATTTCAAAATTGTATACATTAGAACTACCGACACGGATCTCGAAGAGAATGAATGGATGAAAGTAAAAAAAGCTTCCTTCAAGAGTAAATAATCGACCGACAAGTCACTGTTAAGCAGGTGAATTAATAATTGAATTGTTAGGGTTTTGTTTTTTTTAACCTAAACTTGGGGGGAAGGCAGTCAACATGGGGCAGTCAAGCATCTACATGGGCTTCTATGGGAGAAGAAAGGCCTCACAAAAGTTAGGTCAACATGCATCTACCCCTGATCATACAACCCGACCTAGAAATAGAAATACAATAGTCTCATTTATGATTTGATTTTCTGGATATTTCAGTTCGTATTCTAGTAAGTTGGGATTCATCCTTTAACTTGATCATCTTATTGAGGTTCATCTTCACTCTGTCATCTTATTTAGATTGGTCCTCATTCAGTCATCTTGTTGAAGTTCATCCTTGCTCCATTGTCATGTTGAGGCTCATACTTGCTTTGTCAACAACCAAATCCCATTTTAGACATGCTAAGCATTCAAGCTAACTAGCAAGGACTAACCCAACTATGGAATCAAAGGAAAGAAAATATTATATGTTTACTACGACTTATGTAGAAGATATTATTATTCACAAAAAAGACAATAAACAAAAACAAAACACAAAACACAAATTCTGTTTGAACATAGCACTGTGCTACAACACTAGCCCATTAGCCTACTTGGACATGCTAATATATGGGAGCACATAATAGCAAGCACCTGTAAAAAATATTTTTATTTTAATTTAACATGCACCCCCAATGCTCATAAAAGAAAAGCATACACAATTACCATTGAACTAAAACAAGTTTATGTTAGTGAACTAGAAAAATCATCTAAAAGTGTGGTGTGTAAGATATTAATTCTATTCTCTGTGTTTAAGCTATTATTAAGGAAACTTAGAGGTAGCTGATAGGAGTTTCCTTACAGGAAACATTAAACATTAAGTTTCCTTGTTGCTTTTGATTATCGGATGCAACTTGATGACTGTAAATAGCTTCTTTTTTTTTGTATTTCTATAATGATATTTTTTTTAGAGCATTTACATACATACCCACCCAATTTCTTTGAATTTACATATCTAACTCCTAAACTCTACCTTTTACATTTATACTACCCAAATCTTTCATATCATATCAAATGAACCACCATTTTAGCTTTTAAAAGAGAAACACACTTTTTCATGCATAGATGAGTTGGCATATATGTAAAATTGAAGCTAGATATGTAAATACATATGAATTAAGTGATATGTATGTAAATCTCCTTATTTTTTTCTTATAGCATTTACATCAAGATCTATTTTGAATGGAGTTTCTGCTGCAAAAGGTTTTCTTGAGTTCTTAGCTTTTTTCATCATGTTTTCAACACATTAATGAGTTTTTTTTCTGAGTTTTTTTTTTTCAATTTGGAAATAGTTGAAATTTAATGTTTAATCAATCAATGGAACTACAAAATTTGATGCTTTTCTAAAATGTAATTTCTAAATTGTATAGTTTGGGCATCAGCTATATAGGATAGTTTTCATGGTGGGAGAATTATGTAGAAAATACAAATCTAGAGGAACATCATGAACTCTTAACTAACTTGTGTTGGAATATTAGAATAGGAGGAGTATATCATTTTAATTCTGCATGAAAATCATGCACATAGATAAATTAAAAGAAAACCTTGCGGTTCATTCCGACATATTGCTTCTTATGAGCCGTGTTTTATAAATGTGCATTTTCTTACAATTATTAATGAAATTAGCACAATATAATAAGCATAAATTATTGATTATATTTTTGGTGGAGAAAATAGGAGTTTTGAGAGGTCTAAGGCAGTGACGGGTGTTTGTATTATTTCCTTCTTCTAAGAGGAGAAATATGTGATGCTGAACGCAGGCGTTGTATGTTGGCAGCTTATGGCATCAAATTTCAATCCTCGGCTTACGTTGGTCCTTAGCAAGTGTTCGGGGATGTTTGATTTGAATTATTTGACATCTCATGATAGCTCATCTCCCCCCGGTTGTTGTCATTATTGGTTGGGAGTATGACGACTAAAAAGAAGAGCATTGAATTGTTTGACGTCTTGTATCAATGTCCCAGGCAATGCTATGTTGCTAAGCCATCATTCTAAAGGGAGATTTTATTTACATCATTTAAAAAAAAGCATTGAATTGTTTGACGTCTTGTATCAATGTCCCAGGAATTTTGTAATGAAATAATGATTCAAATTTGGCTTTATTATCTTGCTATATTTGATTGCTCAAGGAAATATTTGTGCATTTCAATGTGCAATATTTTAAATATCATAGAGCTATAGAATGTATTATAATTTTTAATGTTTACCTAATAAATTTTACAAAAATATGTCAAGAAAATTTAAAATTCAAAGAACATATATATATATATATATATGTATAAAAGATTACTTATTATTGGAAAGGCACATGCTTTTCTTTAAAAATATCATATATTTCTGTATCCATGAACTCATCATTCTATGTGTAAATTGCTCGTTGACAAAATGACTCATCAATTTTATAATATTTTTTAAATATATCACTTTTTAATATTAAAAATTTAAAAAATTATGTTTTTTTTTTTTTTTTTTTTATAAATTTGTCCTTTGTTATTTTCAGTCATCTTGAATCCTTGCGGATTTAGAGTTGAGAGATCCCCAATTTATCAAGTTCATCCAATCAAAATGTCATTTGATGTTTTGAATTATACTTTTGAATGATTGGTTTAGGTCTTCGAATCATGACATTTTTTGTATCATTAAATTTGTCTTATCAACATAATCATTTTCATTATAAATTAGTTGAAAATAGAGTTGGTTGATTAACAAGATCAATGATTGAACAGCTGTGAGTAAAGGCAATGCGTGGCCCAAGTTTTCCTAACCCTTAATATTCCAAATAAATTTGACTCCGAAGAATCAAAGTAAGTCAATGTTTGGAGTAGTTTTGACTTTGTATTTGAAAAGTCAAAACAAGATTGAATTAAGTCTAGTCTACTGGCTTTCAATGCACAAAAGTTGGCTTCATGTGTCGAGAAAATTATTACCCATGTTTGTATATGGGGACATTCAATCTAAGAGAAGCAGATGTAGTACACCTTGAGGGCACTCCTGTCAGATTGGCTATCCGCATATAAGAACAATCGTAATTAATATATTTTTACATTTGTAGTTTTCTAAATGTTGCATTGTTGAGAAGAGAAAAGTTTTCTGTAAGGACTTCGGGTGTAAATCTACGTGCAAACTCCAATAATATGCCGTCACACGTGCTACATCGTGGAGGTTATTTCGGTGTTGTTTCTAGGTTATTAAAGAGAAACTCATATATCTTACTTGAATAACCCCGAAATAACCTATGCGATGATATTTCGGGTTATTGAATAGAAACTCATATATTACACTTCAATAACCTGAAATAACATCGCAGAGTTTATTCCGGAGTTATTTTGAAATTATTTTGGGGTTATTACGGAGTATGTGTTTCCACTTTTATATTTTTTTAA